TGGGGCCACGAAGCGTTGTCCTGGGTAAGGGAGACGCATGCGAACACCCCCACTTGGGCCTTCGGTAAAGCTCCCTATGGGGCCACGAAACGCTGCCCTGGGTGGGGGAACCGCATGCGCCCACCCCCACTGGGGCCTTCGGTGGAGCTCCCTATGGGGCCACGAAACGCTGCCCTGGGTGGGGGAACCGCATGCGCCCACCCCCACTGGGGCCTTCGGTGGAGCTCCCTATGGGGCCACGAAACGCTGCCCTGGGTGGGGGAACCGCATGCCACCCCCACTGGGGCCTTCGGTGGAGCTCCCTATGGGGCCACGAAACGCTGCCCTGGGTGGGGGAACCGCATGCGCCCACCCCCACTGGGGCCTTCGGTGGAGCTCCCTATGGGGCCACGAAACGCTGCCCTGGGTGGGGGAACCGCATGCGCCCACCCCCACTGGGGCCTTCGGTGGAGCTCCCTATGGGGCCACGAAACGCTGCCCTGGGTGGGGGAACCGCATGCGCCCACCCCCACTGGGCCTTCGGTGGAGCTCCCCACCCCCCGCATGCGCCCCCCCCCCCCCCCCCCCAACTGGGACCTTCGTTGGAGCTCCCTATGCGGCTACGAAACGTGTGAGAGGTGTGCCGAGAGCAGAGGCCTCCTGCGAGGCAGTCTTGGGGGTCCCTTGGGGCTTTCTTGGGCCATCTTGGGGCCCTCTTGGCCGTATGGTGGGTGTCTGGGGGCCGTCGTGTGGCCTTCTGAGGCCGTCGAAATGGTTTCTAGGTTCAGCTTGGGACCAACGGGAGGCCCGTTTGGGCTGTCTTGGGGCCATCTCGGATGCCTCTTGGGCCAATGTGTGATCCTCTTGGGAGCCTCTTGGGTCGTCTTGGGGCCATCGTGGAGGCTCCTTGGGCCGTCTTGAGCTGACGGAAACTCGAAAGGGCGATGGTGTGAAAATCATATAAAGGCCAACAGAACAGGAAACCACTGACTCGGTATTATTCGGGCCCCGTTGGAGGTCCTCTTGTGGCCCTTTCGGGCCCTCTTGGAGGCGCCTTGAGGTCATATTAGGTCGCCTTGGGGCCACCTTGGGCCGTCGTCGAGACATCTTGGGCCATCTTGGTGTTCTTGGTTGCCTGCATGGGCCGTCTTGGAAGCTCAGGACGCACACCCACCGCTTGTTGCCAGGGATCGTGTCTTCGGGAGCGCGGCTCCTTTGTTTTGTACGGGGGATCTTGGCCTCGGAAGGGGGGGCGGTGCATTCAAGGTGACGCAACTACGGGGGGGTCCCTGATGAGAATACTGACACCCTGCAAGTCAGCCCTTGGCATTCCTTCCTCCACGCCTCAACGTGCACGGTGCCGGATTCAGCAGTTCATTCTGCACGCATGCCATACAGCCACGGCCGTCATACCAGCTAACGCGCTAGAGGGCAATTCACGAAGTTCATTGAATTCCCAGGACGTCTCGGGCAAGAGCGCCATTCCTGAGTTTGGGGGGGCATCTGGTCAAGATGTTCCGGAGCAAATCATGCGGAAGTATCCAGCGGGAGCCGTTCTCGTCGTAGTTGGGTGTTCGCCAATTTAGTTGAATTGCCAGGAAATCTCGGACAAGAGCGTCATTCCTGAGTTTTGGACCCCTCTGGCCATGTCTTCTCGGAGTAAAGTATGAGAACGTTTTGGGCGGGAGTTGTTGCCCTCTTAGCTGGGCCTTCGCCTACTTGCTCGGTGTGCAAGGAAATCCTGGGCGAGAGCGCCAGTCCTGAGTTAGGGGGCCTCGTTGGCCATGGCGTCTCGGAGTAAATTGTAGAGGCTTCGTGTAACCCACCAGCCAATCCAGAAACGATGCCCAGGCGAGTTGCCCTGATCAGGGATGTGGAGGAACATGATGTGGAATCACGGGCTGGGGAAGCCGTCATACCCCAAGAGGGGAGGGAGATGGAGAAGGAGTCGGAGGAGGAGAAGGGGAGGGGGAGGGGGGAAAGGGAGAAGGAAGGAGGAGGAGGAACAGGCGGAGGAGGAGGAGGGGGACGAGAAGGAGGGCGAGCAGAATGGCCAGAGGCCTCTTGGATGCCTCTCAAAGTCCCTTCGGATGTCTCCCGAAAGCTGCTTGGAGTCCTTTGGGCGTCTTGAGGGTATCTGGGCGGTTCTGGGGGCATCTTGGAGCGTCTTGGGTGCCTCGGGGGTGCCTCTTGGGGCGCCTTGGGGGTCTCTTGGGAGGGAGCCTCTTGGGGACCTCTTGGGGGCCTCCTGGGGACTCCTGGGGCCCTCTTTTGGGGCACTCTTGGAAGCCTTGGGGGCGGGCCATCTTAGAGGAGGTCGATCAAACAAGGTAGGTCTCAATTAGGCCCCACACCCCGAGGAGGCCAAAACGGGTCCAAGACCGAGGTAAAATCAATGGTGTGTGCTGTCTCGCCGAGGCCTTGCTGGACGCTCCAATCGGTCCGGATCCCCCCCCCCTATCCAGGTGGGGGTAGGGAGAGGGGTCAAGATACCTCCCCGCCCGCAAGCTGTCTCGCTCACTCCCACCCGCCCTCCCAACACATAAGCAGCACCCAGGCCTCAGCATGTTCAGCGGTCGTCTTTGGATGGACAGCTGATTGGAACCCAAGCGGATCCCATGTGCGCAACGTTGGGGCGAGGTGCGCCACGCGTGCAAGGCGCGCGACGCGCGTCAGGTGCGCCAGGCATCCCTGTGGCCCAAACGTACCAGGCACGCCTGGTGCGCCAAATACCACGTGCGCCATATGTGCCGCATGCTTCAGCCTCGCCAGGTGCGCCACGTCTGGGGCACGCGCAGAGTGTGCCTGGTGCGCCTGCGCACGTGGCAGTGCACATCGGGAAACGTGTCGGCCCCCACCACCCTTGTCGAAAACGAGTGCACAATCGCGGCGGGGTGGCCATCATGGTGTCTGGTGGGCCTGCACTCGGCAGGCAATATGCCGGCACCCCCGCCGTCCCAGTCAAAACCCAAATGCACAGTGATCGCGAGGTGCCTGCACATGATCCACGGGTTGCCTCGACGTGCAGTCTGTTTTTCGGGCTGGGGATATTGGCCCTGCGCACAGCAGGCAATATGCGGGCAGCCCCGCCGTCCGCGTCAAAAAACAATACAAATGTGCTCGCGACCCCTCCAAACATGAACCAAGAGTTTTCCCCAGAGTGGACTTCACATTTTTCTACAGGGATGGTGGAGGGGGCCTCATTTCAGGAGGTGAAAAACACACAGACACAATTAATCGTCGATTCCAAAGGAAATTTTGGAAAATATGAGAAGTGAGGGGAAGACGAAGACCCAGAAGATATGAGAAAATATTGGGAGTCTTGGAATTTGTGTGTACGTTGTGTGTGTGTGTGTCCCTGGGCCCCTTCATTATTGTCCCTGGTGTGCTGCTGGTCGCCTGGGGAGGAGCTGTTTATCAATCGGGATACTTGATAAACCCTCCTCGGAAGGGGAAGAAAGGGACTTGGAAGAGGAAACGCTTCAAGACACTCACGCCCAGAGGTCTGATGTGATATGAGGAACTATCGAGCGGGAGCCGTTGTCATCGCAGTTGGGCCTTCAAGGGCCGAGATTGGGAAGCCAGCCCGCGCTCAATCGGGAGCCTCGGTTTCATAGAAAATGTTGCCAGCGTCGAGGCGAGAGCGCCCGGAACCGCTTACATCAACGGTAATGCTTCTCTAGACAGGAACAGGTAGCGCCGCCGAACGACGGGCGACGACGGCAGCGACGACGACGACGACGACGCCGACGACGACGATGACGACGACGACGACGACGACGACGACGACGACGCCGCCGACGACGACGATAACGACGACGACGACGACGACGACGACGACGACGACGACGACGACGACGACGCCGACAATGACGACGCCGACGACGACGACGACGACGACGACGACGACCACGAATAATGCTGGCGGCGGCGGCGACGGCGGCGATTGCACCCCCCCCGCGGCGCCCTCCAGTGTTGCGATCTGTTTCCGACGTCGGCCCCCACGGGGATTTCGGCCACTTATGCCCTTGGGGGCCAGCTGCCGAGACCCCCCTATCGAGTCGTGGAGAAACCACGGCGGGAAGTCTTTGCTTCGTATTGTAGCGGACTCCGGCCAGTGCCGCCGATCCGGGGTGTTACCGATTCTGCTTGCAACGGAGGACCTTTTATGTTCAAAAGAAGAGCACTCGCTCGAGGCATCCTTATAAGATAGAGATGTTGAACTCGCTTGGGCAACCGTCGGAGATTCGAAAGTGACGAGCTCGCGTGAACAGCCAAACTCATGGGATGTCCCCTCCCGCCTTCCGGGCCTGAATGGCGTCAGCCATAGCGTCAGCCCCCGCCCCCCCCCCCCCCGACTTCTACCTCCCGAGCTTGTTTCGTATTTCCTGATGAAAACCCAGCCTTGGAGATCCACGTTGCGAAAAAGTAATGACTTTGGGGATCCACGTTGCGAACAATGGGTCGACACTTCTGGGGGTCCACGTTGCGAAAAAAGTAATGACGTCGGGGGTCGGGGTTACCATCCCGAGCCAGTGTTTGGGACGGTCCCAGGGCTGGGTGAGGGACCAAGGTGTCTGAAAATTGCCAAAAAATGTCCGCCGCATTTGTTTGTCGCGACGCGAGGGGGTCTGGGGAAGAGGACGCAGGGAGGGAGGGGAGGGAGGGAGAAAGAGGATGGAGGGGAGGAAGAAGAGGAGGAGGAGGAGGAGGAGTAGGAAGGAAGAGGAATGAAGAGGAAGGAAGAGGAAGGAAGAGGAAGGAACAGGAAGGAGGAGGGAGGAGGGAGGAGGAGGGAGGAGGAGGGAGGAGGGGGGAGGAGGGGGGAGGGAGGAGGGACGAGTGAGGAGGGGGAGGAGGAGGGAGGAGGGAGGAGGAGGGAGTAAGAGACAGGAGGTAGGAGGGAGAAGGGAGGAGGGAGGACGAGGAGCAGGAGGAGGAGGAGGTCGGGCTCTCTCCCGCCGTTCTGCCCCCCCGCCGCCGCCCGCCCCCCTCTGCCTGCTGCGCGCGGCCGCCGAGAGGAGGGCAGGGCGCCCCTGGCCCGGTTCCCGTTCGAGCTGAGTTGCCGCGAGGGCGTCCAGGCCCGCGGCGTGTTCGGCCCACTTCGCAAAGCTTCGGCCAACGGAATATGGCGCCACTCGGCCAACGCATATAATCTTTATATATATATATATATAAACAGTTGTATGTACATATATATATATATATGTGTGTATGTGTCTGTGTCTGTGTGTGCGTGTGCATGCTCATTCATTCATTCATTCATACGTGCACAGATGTATACCTGTACACACGTACACTCTTATTCATGCATATAAACAAGCAAACAACCATGCCTGCATATGTACCTGAATACATACATACATGCATGCATGCATACATACATTGATACATGCATACATGCATGCCTGCATACATACATGTGGACATACATACGTATATACATGCACGTATACATACATGCATACATATCTGCGTGCATACACGCATCGATGCATGCGTGTATGTATGCATGCCTACGCACATACATAATGGCAAACATGCATATATATATATACAAGCATACGTACATGCAGACATACACACACACATAGACATACATGCATGCATGCATACATGCATATATATATATATATCTGCATATAAGCATACATACATGTGTGCCTGCATACATACACGCATGTATGTATATATATATATAAAAATGCATGTGCGCATACATAAACATGTTTTCATATGTATAAATACAAATATGCGTACATCCGTACATGCACTCATATATACAATAATCCGTTCATGCATGCACACGTACATACGCACGCATACATGCATATATACATAATATACATACATGCATGCATACAAAGATTCCCCAATCAGAGCTTGCCTCTGTTTTGGGGTCCTAGCGGATTCATATGGTTAGGTTAGGTTTGCCGCCGATTTTCGCCGCACGCCCGGGTGCCCGGGTGCCCAGGGCCCGGGTGCCCGGGGGGTGCCCAGGGGTGACCCCGTGCCGGGTGCCCCGACGTGCCGGGGGGTGCCCGGGGGTGCCTGGGGGTGCCCTATAGCCCTATAGCGCTAAGCCCTATAGCCCAATGGCCCTATAGCCCTACAACTCTATACCCCTATAGCTCTATAGCCCTGTAGCTCAATAGCCCTATAGCCCCCTAGCCCTATAGCCCTGATTGGGGCTTTTTTCCGGTATCATATATATATATATATATATATAATATATATATATATATATATATATATCCACTCAAATAAATCCGTAAGATGGTTTGTGGGTTTGCGTGGGCCCCCGGCTCCCCGAGCCTCCCAGGGGCCCTGAAACGGCTCCGGAAGACACCCGGAAAGGCCCGAACCGGTGCGGGTGCGGGAGCTCCTGAGAGAACCCCAACACGGCCCTAGAGACCTCCAAGATCCCGTAAGACGGCCTGCACAGAGCCCCGAGAAGCCAAAATCGTCAAATTCCCTTGGGAAAACGTACATTTTGGGCATGTCCGACTTTTCAAATCCCGATGCTTCACGACGGCCAAAGACGCTCCATAGACCGCCCCAAAACGGCCCAACAGGACTCCAAGAGGCTCCCACGACGGCCCCAGAGGGCCTCCCAGGGGCCCCGAAACGGCTCCAGAAGACACCCGGAGAGGCCCGACATGGCGCCGGAGCTCTTGAGAGACCCCCACCACGGTCCCAGAGACCTCCAAGATCCTGCACGACGGCCCTCAAAGCCTTCCGCACAGAGCCCCAGGAAGCCAAAATCGTCAAATTCCCACGGGAAAACGTACATTTTGGGCATGTACGCGCTTTCGCATCCCAAAGCTCCACGACGGCCCAAGACGCTTCATACACCGCCCCAAGACGGCCAAACAGGACTCCAAGAGGCTCCCACGACGGCCCAAGAGGGCATCCCAGGGGCCCTGACACGGCTCCGGAAGACACCCGCAGAGGCCCGAAACGGCGCCGGAGTTTCTGACAGAGCACAAACACGGCCCTAGAGACCTCCAAGATCCCGTGAGACGGCCCCCAAGGCCTTCCGCAGAGAGCCCCGGGAAGCCAAAATCGTCAAATTCCCATGGGAAAACGTACATTTCGGGCATGTCCGAGTTTTCGCATCCCGAGGCTCCAAGACGGCCCAAGACGCTTCATAGACCGCCCCAAGACGGCCCAACAGAACTCGAAGAGGCTCCCACGACGGCCCACGAGGGCATCCCAGAGGCCATGAAACGGCTCCGGAAGACGCCCGCAGAGGCCCGAAACGGCGCCGGAGCTTCTGAGACACCGCAAACACGGCCTAAGAGACCTCCACGAGCCCGTAAGACGGCCCCCAAACCTTCCGCACAGAACCCAGACGACGACGACAACGATGACAATGACGCCGCCCGCGACGACGACACGGCAGACGACCACGACGACGACGCTTCGCAAAACGACGGCGCCGACAACGACGGCGATGGCGACGCCAACGCCGAAGACCACGCCGACGCCGACGCCGACGGTTACGACGATGACGGCACCGACGACTGCGACGGCGCAACTCCGTGGATTTAATCCACGGGTCCACACTAGTATATATATATATATATATATATATATATATATATATATATATATATATATATAATTGGGGAGGGGGTCCCCGGGGCCCAGGAGTGCACTGACTGGGCATCCAGCCGTTTTGGACCCGTCGGGGGGCGCCAGAACGCGTCAAAGGAAGGGAAGGTGGGCGACGAGAGGGCCCGAGAGACGTCCAAGAGGGCGCCAAGATGGCCCAAGAGCGCTCCAAAAGAGCCCAAGACTGTACAAGAGCATTTCACAATTGGTCCAACATGGCTTGAAGACTGCCCAAGAGGGCCTCAAGACGGCCAAGATGCCTTCAAAAGGATCCCCACGAGGCCCTCAGGAGGCGAAACAAGTGGTTGTTTCGAGGGTTTTGGAAGGTTGCTCGTGTCCTCGTTTTCTCGTGCTTCTGACAGTCCAAGACAGCCCACGAGGCCTCAGAAATCAGCTCAAGACGGCCCAAGAGGCACCCAAAGAGGGCGCTACGACGGCGCAAGAGAGCCCCAAGACGGCTCAAGAGGGCCCCCAAACGGCCCAAGAGGGGGAACACGAACCAACAATTCGAGCCTTCCGCCCCAAGAGGCCCCGAGGAGGCCCCAAGAGGCCCCCAAGAGAGCCCAAGAGGCCCCCTAGAGGCCCCTTAGAGGCCCCACGAGGCCCCAAAGAGGCCCAAAAAGAGGCCCGAGCACCCCAAACGGCCCCTAACAGGCTTCCAAAACTACCTTCAAGAGGCCCCCAGGAGGCCTCCCACGACTTCCAAACGAACTTCCAAGAGGCCTCTAACCCACAGCCCAGGCACGGTGGCGGGATGGGCCGGCGGCCACTAGATGGTCTAAGACGGCCTCCAGACGGCCCAAGAGGCCCCCAAAATACCCGAGAGGCGTCCAAAAGGTCTCCCAACAGAGCTCGAAGAGGCCAAAACATGTATGTTGCATAGGTGTTTGAACAATTTTGGCGTTTCCGCCTGTTCCGCTCCCCGACGTCGCAAAACGCCCCACAAGGGTCCGAGAATCGCCCCAAGACGGCCCAATAGGCTTCAAAAGCGCCCCAAGACGGCCCAATAGGCTTCAAAAGCGCCGAAGAGATATCCAAGACGGCCGGGGAGGGCCCCAACCGCGGCCCAGGATCGGGAAAGGGAACCAAGAACCCGAGATCTTCACCCCAGGAGACCCCAGACTTCAAGAGGTCCCCAAGAAGCCCCAAAGAGGCCCTAAAGAGCCCCGAGAGAGGCCCCGAGGGCACTGGAGAAAAACGGGAATTCCAACATGTGTTCAAAAGTTCGCCTGGAAGCTTTGCTACGCTTGCCAAAAAAAGGGGATATCATATCTCCTCCTCCTCCTACTCCTCCTCCTCCTCCTCCCTCCTCCTCCTCCTCCTCCTCCTCCTCCTCCTCCTCCTCCTCCTCCTCCTCCTCCTCCTCCTCCTATGGTTCCTCCTCCTCTCTGCGGCCCCCTCCACCCTCTCCAACTCCTCATCCTCCTTCTCCTTCTCCCCCAGAGACCCCCTGCACCTCCCCATCTCCTCCCTCTTCCTCCGGCGAAGTCCAGGGCCCCCGAAGCGACTTTTGGGCCTGTCTAAAGCCGTCGTGGGCGGACCGTAGGAAGTCTTGGAAGCCACTTGGGCCGTCTTCGTGGTTCTTGGAAGCCCCTGAGAAGAAGTGTCATGGAATAGAGATCCCCAAGGGTTCGACCATCCAGCCTTGCTAGATCTTAAGCGCGCGAAGCGCGCGCGATGGTTCTAGTGTGTATATATATGTATAAATATATATATATATATATATATATATATATATATATATATATAAATATACATACATACATACATACATACATGCATGCATGCATGCATGCATGCATGCATACATACATACATACATACATACAGACCTATATATACATATATATATTATATATATATATATATATATATATATCTCGAAGACGCCTACGGCGAATCACCGCCGCCCCCTGCCTTTTTGGAAACGCCGATGTGGCCGAAAGTTGGACTAGAGCTTGGCCAAGCTATCGGACCATGAGTTCCCCGAGTCGGTTTGGAAAGCTTTCGGGGAACACATGGGAGAGAATGATTATGAACAGGAAGAGGAAGAGGAAGAAATAGAGTAGGAGGATGAGGGTTGTTAGGAGTCTCTTGGGGCACCCTTGGGGTCTGTTGGGGGCTTCTTGGGGGCCTCTTCGAGGCCTCTTGGAGGCATCTTGGGGGCCTCCTTGGGCCTCTTGGGGGCCTTTGGGGGCTTCCTGGGGGTCTCTTTGGCCGTCTTAGGGCGTTCCTGGTCCGTCTGACGCCGTCTGGAGCCGTCTTGGGGGCCTCTCTGGGCCGTCTTGGGGCCCTCTTGGGGCGCTTCAGGGCCGTCTTGGAGGCCATGTTGGGCGTCTTGGAGGCCTCTTGGGCCGTCTTGGGGCGCTCTTGGGGCCGTCTTGGGGGGCCCTTGGGCCGTCATAGGGCCTTCTTGGAGGCCTCTTGGGCGATCTTGGGGGCCTCTTGGGCCGTCGGAAGGCCGAAAAGAAGAAAACGCAAAAAACCTTCAAAAACCTAAGGAAAACCAATGATTTTGGCCTCTTCGGGCTCTCCTGGAGAACGTCTTGGAGGCCTCTTGGGCCATCTTGGAGGCATCTTGGGGCCATCTTGGCCGTCTTGGAGGGCATCTTGGGCCGTCTTGGAGGCATCTTGGAGCCATCTTACCCGTCTTGGAGGCCATCTTGGCCGTCTTGGAGGCATCTTGGAGGCCATCTTGGGCCATCTTGGCCGTCTTGGAGGCCATCTTGGAACCGTCTGGGGCAGGAAATTTGGGAATTGAGCTCCTGGGCATCCTTTCCGGGTGGCCGGCGGGACGGGCCGAAGCCCACTGGAGAGTTCTTTTAGAAAAAGAACCAAAACCAAAACCTGAAACATCCAGCACGCCGTGCACCCCTGCAAGCAGGGGGCGGCGGATATATGTGTGTGTATCCACACACAGATGTGCCTTCGGCCCATCCCGCCACCGTGCCTAGGATGTGGGTTCGAGGCCTCTTGGATGTTCGTTTGGATATCGTGGGGGGCCTCTCGGGGGGCTCCTGGAGGCAGTTTGAGGCCTCTTGGGGGCCGTTTGGGGCCTCTTGGGGTCTCGGTTTGGCCTCCTGGGGGCCCCGCGGGACCTCTAGGGGGCATCTTGAACTCTCTTGGGAGCCTCTTGGGGCCTCCTGGGGGCTTCTTGGGGCGGAAGGCTCGAATTGTCGGTTCGTGTTCCCCCTCTTGGGGCCCTCTTGGGCGATCGTGGGCGCCCCTTGGGCCGTTTGGAGGCCCTCTTGGACCGTCTTGGGGCCTTCTTGGGGCCTCTTGGGGCGGTATTGGGGGCCTCTGGGGCCATCTTGGAGCGTCGGAAGCCCGAAAACGTGATAGCGCGAAAAGCAGCGAAAAAAATTATGAATCTCAACGATTGTTTGCTCTCTGGGCTCTCTTGGGGGTCCTCTTGAAGCGCTCTTGGGGCTTCTCTGGGGCCTCTTGGGCCGTCTTGGGGCCATCTTGGGCGTCTTGGAGCGCTCTTGGGCTGTCTTGGAGGCCTCTTGGGCGCTTTCTTGGGCGCTTTCTGGGGCGCTCCTGGTCCGCCTTGGGGCCCTCTGGCCTCTGGAAAAATCATGCGGGGCAGCCCAGGAGCGCGCGGGATGTCCAGACAAGTTGATAGATCTGGGGCCCCAGCCTTCAGAATACCACAATCCCCGAGCCCTGAGTACAGAGGACAGGGAACCCTTGAGGACCTGAGGATACTCCACTTCGTGCCTCGCAGCACGGAGGCGGATATTGATACAGATAGGCATGGCCGACAGCGCAGGCTGCGCCTGAGATGCATGGCAGGGCTGCCTCGCCACAACGGAGACCATCCAAGTGCGAAGGAACACGGTCAACTCTTTCCTGCAGTCCGCGCGCGCAAGTCGCTCGTCAACTGCCCGACGCCGTCAAAGTAAACAAGTGAGATTGCCCGACGATGTTGGGTGGCCTACCACCATCAAAAAGATGCGGACTGCGGTCGCTGCCCCCGTTTGCCCTCCAATTCATGGGGGAAACGGCTTCTGAGGTTTTCCCCGCCTTTCCGCCTCCGTGAGCCCTCCACAGGTTCGGGTCGGGGACCGTCCGAAAATCATTCCGGGATGGACGTCGGGTCCTAGAAGCCTCCTCAAAGATAGATTGAAACGCTGCTCAAGATCGAAGCGCTCGATCGCTCGGGCACTTGTCAGAAAACCCGTTCACCACGCGAGCACCGACAACAAAACCCGTCCACTTATGTCTGACGAGTCTTGCCCCGGGGTCTGCCCCTTGCATCGGGGGGGGGGGCGGGGGAGGGGGGATGAAGAGGGGGAGGGGGAGGAGGAGGAGGAGGAGGAGGAGGAGGAGGAGGAGGAGGAGGAGGAGGAGGAGGAGGAGGAGGAGGAGGAGGAGGAGGAGGAGGAGAGGGAGGAGGGGAGGACGAAATGCACCCGCAGGGGGGGGGGCCCGGGGTCCAGGACCCGTCCCTCTTCCTCGGGATCCGCTTGCCGCATGCGAACCGCCCTGGCAGGGCCCGTTCCGATCCGGTGCGGCTCGACGCCGACCTTCGGCCAGCTCGATCACACTTCGGCGACCAACAGAGGGTAGGGCTGCGCCGGGGTGTGCTTTGCGATCGGCACCGTCGGGGCCCGAGGGGGCACGACACTGTCCTCGTTTGGCCTCCTCGGGGCGCGGCGGAGAGCTCTGTTGAGGTAGGGTGCCCTTCAGGGTGCCGGTTGCAAACCACACCCTTTGCAAACCCCACTCTTCGGAGTCGCCGACCATTCGGCTCCGCTGTTTGGGCGATCCTCGGTACGATCGGAGCGGGTACGGAAGGGAAGGGCTCGAAGACCGACAGCAGCTCCTGTCTCTTCTCGACGCTGGCCTTCGGCCACCTCGATCCCATTCGGCTCCGATGTTTGGGCGATGCTCGCTACGATCGAAGTGGGTACGGAAAGAATGGGCTCGAAGACCGACAGCGGCTTCCATCTTTCTTCTGCTCTAATGTTTTGTTAACAAAAGACCGGTGTTAGACAACATGTGTTGTTAACCATCGAACCCATGTTTTATGTACCCATGTCGGGCGTGTCATGCTCCGATGCGGCCCGACGCTTGCATGGCATTGCTGTGCACGCGGGCGTGGCCGGCTTGATTCGATGTCAGTTCCGTGCCGCCGCAGGTCGATCCGACGCACGTTGCTAATTCTTGGTTCGACGTTGGTTGACCCTCCTTTGAGGGCGATCGAGGGCCCAGGAACAACGGAACGGGCTGCGCTCTCTGATTCCGCTGCGCCCGCGCTGTTGGCGGAGCTCTGCGTGGGACAGGCTTGCTGTTGCGGACACACCGCCGGGGCACTCCCTGCGATTGTAGATAAGCGGGGAAACGGAAGATTCGAGGTTGCTGGAACGCGGGCTTGCAGCCGCAATGTTGTGTTCTTGGCATGAGCTTTGACGCTGCAGTTTTCGTGAAATGTTTGCGGCGAGATGCCGCGTCAAAATTCAGACTAGATCCCGTGATGTTTTCGGACGGCCTCGTCAGGCAACTTCGAATCCCCCAAACCCGACGGCCCCCCGATGGAGGTAGAAGGCCAAGAGATATCGAGAGGCCACGAGGCACCCCGGATGAGCAAGAGCCTGCCGCCCCTGGAGGGTTCGTCTGGCTGGTCTTGGGCCTGGGCTGCCCTGGCTCTGACCCACACTTCTGGCGGATTGAGTTCTCGGTCGGGCTCCAGAGGTCGCGAGCCTTTCCCGCGAAGACGAAACATTTGCGCACGCATGAACTTTTGGAGCTCCGCGCGGAGTTCTCGGATCGGCGCTGGAGACCCCCTGGCGGCGCCTCCTGCGCCGCCCCTGGCGCGATCTTTGCCTGCAGAGCCAATGGTTTGACCTTCTCGCGGTCCCCGGGGCCCGAAAACAGTACCCGGAGGCCGACATGATTGAAGGGAAACCGCCAGGATTTGAACAGCAAAACAAAACAAAACACGTCGGAGGTCTTGGCCTGTCGGAGGCCTGTGAAGATCTCTGGAGGTCCCTGGAGGCCCCTGGAGGCTTCAGGACTTCCACCCCATCCCCAAAATAACAACAAAAACAGCCAAAACCGCCATCCTCTCCCCCCCTTCTCTCCTCCTCTCTCTCCCCTCATATTCCTCATCCTCCTCATTAGAGCCATCGCAAAAAAAACTACTCGTTCAACTTCATCCTCCTTATACTGCTCATACTCTCTCCCCCTCCTCCCTCCCTCCTTCCCTGCCCCTCCTCCCTCCCTCCTTCCCTGCCTTGTCTCCCCCTCCTCCACCTCCTATAATTGTTCGTCCTCTTCCCTTGCTTCAACGAGGTCCAATGAGGAGGGGGAGGTTCAACGAGGAGAGGGGGAGGAGGAGGAGGAGGAGGAGGAGGAGGAGGAGGAGGAGGAGGAGGAGGACGAGAAGGAGGAGGAGGAGGAGGAGGAGGACGACGACGACGACAAGAGGAAGAAGGAGGAGAAAGGAGGAAGGAGGAAGAAGGAGCGAGGAGGAAGGAGAGAGGGAGGGAGGAGGAGGAACGAGGAGGAGGAGGAGGAAGGAGGAGGAGGAGGAAGGAGGAGGAGGAGGAGGAAGGAGGAGCGAGGAGGAAGGAGGAGGGAGGGAGGCTGCCAAACCCGACCGCGGTGCCACAGGTCCGGAGCCGCGCCAGCTGGGAGGCGCTGCTGCGGCGCCGCGGGCTGCACGCGCGGCCCGGGCGCGTGGAGCTGCGGCTGGAGGCCCCCGCCAGCGGCCTCGCCTGCCCTCTCGGCGCGGCCGCGCGCGCGAGGAGGTCGGCCACGCGCTGAGGGGGGCAGGGGAGAGGGTGAAGTCGGGCCTGTCCCTCCACAGGAGGAGAATTCGAAAATAGTCCAAAAATAGTCTGGGGACGTTTTTTTTTTACTATGTTTGCTCATTCTGGCGTATTGTTTGAACATGTTTGTCTATTTTTTGATAGTTTGAATATTTGGGGGGGTATTTTTTGTGAGTATGTTTAATTTTTCGCCCAAGAATCCCCATGTAGGGGCACACGCCCGACTTTGAGTGTAGGGGGGAGGCCTCTTAGAAGCACCCCTGCTTCTCAGAAGCGGCGAGCCTTCTTGGTGGACGCAAGGCCCGCCCCCTTGCAAGAAGCAGCCTCCTCCCTAAGAAGCCTTTCCCCCCTCCCGCTACCCCCTTGCGCGCGCCGCCAAGGAGGGGCCCCTGAGACCCGGGCGCATCACAGCGGCTTGGCATCGCTCGGACGAGTGCCCTTTGTTCTCCGCGCGGACCATCGAGGAGCATCATGGATCATGGAGCAAGAAGAACACGCACGAAATCGACACATGCACGGGGAATGGACGGCCGAGCGATGGCGAGCCGGGCATTTCCCTTCCGCCTCGGGCCCCAGGACCAGCACGGATCGATCCGGCTCGAAAAATGCCTCAGAAAGATGCGGTCCAGGGTTTTGGCCTCGGGCGTTTCCGTGTGGCTTCGGGCCCCGGGACCATCACGGATCGATGCGGCTCGAAGAATGACTCAAAAACACGGGGTCCAGCACTTTGGACGTGATTTTCATCGTGATGTTGCCGATGTTTTTCGCAGCGTCGGATCCCAGGAAAGGAGGGATGGAGGGAAGAAGGGAGTGAGGGAATAGGGCGGAGAGGCGAAGAGGAGGAGAAGGAGGAGGAGGAGGAGGAGGAGCAACGGCAGGCAGCGTTTGTCGGACTCGGTTGTCTATAGTTTGTAGGTAGGAGAGAGGGAGGGAGGGAGGGAGGGAGGGAGTAGTAGGAGGCAAAAAAGAAGGAAGTGGCATCTGCCTCCTCCCTCTCCTCATCCTCTCGCTGCTCGTGGAGATTACCACCCTTCTCTTCGCACCACGCCTGCGCCCACCCCTTGTCCCCCTTGTCCTTGTCCTCTGCCTCACCATCATCCTCCTCGAGAGGAGCAGCAGCAGGATGAGCAGCAGCAGCAGCAGGCGGAGCAGGAGCAGGAGCGGGAGGTGAAGGATGCTCTCCACAAGGGAGGGCTGCCCAGTCTGAGGACCCAGCGGGGCTCGAGGCTCCCGAGAATACAGGCGATCCTCCCCGACCGCCTCCTCCCCCTCCTCCCCCATCCCTCCCGTCATCCGCTCCTCCTCACCATGTCTCCCCTCCTCCCACCTCATCCTCCTCCCTCCCTCCCTCCCTCCCTCCCTCCCTCCTCTTCCTCCTCTTTGTCCTCCTCCTCCTACTCCTCCTCCTTCTCCTCAGTCTGTCGGCCAGATCCTGACGACAAATCATCTCGAAGGAGTTGCAGTTCCGGCACAGAAAAACAAGTGCAAGGAAGATGGGGGAACGATAGAGAAGCGAATGACGAGGTCCAAGCCTCATTCACCACCTATGTGCACAGTCCGTGCACCCCCCCCCAGGTCGAGAGCTCCACACCCGTAGATATATCCGGCACGTCCCCCCCAACCTCAGGAAGCAGGCAGCAACAGCGGACGGGGTGGGAGCAGAGACGTGACCCCTGTCGTCAGGGATCGCAGCAATCTCTTTCTGGCTGAGATCGCAATGTCCAATAGCGATCGTGAGCATGGAGGTTGTTATGCACCTCATCGAGTTCATTATAGGGGCAGCCTAGGGGGAGGGGGGAATCAGTCCAGGACCTCGGAGCAAATATACAGGTCAGGTGGGAAGTCCCGCCCGAATGCTCCAATAAGCGATCCTGAGCGCCCTTCTCATGTCAGAATTGCCCAAAGCCACCATTTCTCTGTCCTTGTTACTGGGGGGCCGAATTCCCCATGGCATGGTGCGGTTGCGGACAGGACGGAGCGGAGCATACCTATGAGGTTCCGCCTGGACCTTGCTTGCTTCCCAAGACATGAGTAGCGAACAGGCACGAAACCCCAAGAAGTGTCAGTCCCCTAACATCTACGCACCCCCTCACAGGCTTTCAGGGCACCAATGCAGATGGGGAGCAACAATGCTGCCCTGATGGATCAAGGCCTCACCTCCATCGGACGCATCCGTGAGAAGCAGCAGATTGCAAAACGCATCGGGTGGCGTTCCTGGCAACCACGCAGGTTGGGAGATCAGAAGAACAGGCAGTGGATCAGGGGTCGGGGGGATCATAATCACCACAGGGGAAGTCGGAGGCGGGAGTATGCTCTCGTGTCCCTCTGGGAGGGCCCATGGCTCACAAGTTTGGGGGCCTATGGCGCGAATGGTTGGAGCATCAACCACATGATCATGTCTCCCTTGGTTCCTATTCGTTTATTTTGCTGCTCAGCTCCGAACTGCCCCCAAACCTCGAGCTCAGCCTTGGTGGCATGCCGTCCAGTAGCAGACCTAGCTGGACTACACCTGGGAAGCCTCTGCATACGTGCGATGGGCCGATTGCGGGAGTGAAATCATGTCATACACAAGGCACGTGTCACCTGCAGCCCAACGGGCGAGGTGGTGTGGGGGCTTGTGATGTTTGCCCACATACCTGCCCTGCTCCTCTTCCTCCTCCTCGTCCTTCTCCTCCTCCTCCTCCCCCTCCTCCTCCTCCTCCTCGTCATCATCATCAGCATCATCATCATCCTACTCGTCCTCAGTGTACGTTCGCTCCTCCTCCTTCCTCCTCCTCCTCCTCCTCCTCCTCCTGCTCGCTCATCCTTATATTCAGTGTTATCTTTCTTCAACTTCATCGCTCCCTGCACCCCTCCTCGCATGATAGCAGTCCTCAATAATTCCTTCCTCCTCCTCCTCATCATCCTCCTCGTTCCCCCCCTGCTCCTCATCATCGCCCTCATCGTCCTCATCATCATCAGCAGCAGCATCACCATCATCACCATGATCTTCTTGATCTTCATCATCATCATCATCATCATCATCATCATCATCATCATCATCATCATCATCATCATCATCATCATCATCATCATCATCATCATCATCATCATCATCATCATCATCATCATCATCATCATCATCATCATCATCATCATCATCATCATCATCATCATCGTCATCGTCATCGTCATCGTCATCGTCATCGTCATCGTCATCGTCATCATCACCATCACCATCACCATCACCACCACCATCATCATCAGCAGCAGCCGCAGATCAGCATCGCCATCATAATCCAATGTGTGCCATTCGGCCCAAGGCCACCCCTGCCAGGCAGGTTCGGCGGGGGCGCAGAGGCCACCGAGGCCCCCCCCGCCGCCCCAGACCTCTGACGCCACGACTTCTTCGTGACGCGGGCCTCGGGATCGATGTTTGCCGAATGGCAGAGAAACAGCATGAACATGATGTATCGGAGCTCCGCGGGGATTTCCTCGGCGTCAGGACCCCCTGGCGGCGCCTCCTGTTCCGCTCCGCGCGACAGGGAGGGTTTCCAGCGCCGATCCAAGCAAGCTGCGCGGAGCTCCGAGCTGCAATGTGTTGCTCCTCCAGCTTGCTTGACATTGTTTGGCTGTTTGGGTCATCCACATGCCTCCAGAGCCTTCTTGGAACTTACACGTTGTTCATTTCTCAATATTCGAAAGTTCTTTGATTCTTTAGGGGGCCAAGATCCTTTCATTTCTAACTGTTCTATCCTGGGCCTCTTCCTGGCCACTAGGGGGTCAGGAACAATCAGAAGCGAGCACAATTAGAAATGAGCACGATTAGAAATGAACGACGTGTCCTTCAGAGGCCTCCAGGGGCCTCTGGAAACTTCAGGTGGCCCTCAGATCGCCTTCGGGCGAGTCCATCCCATGGGAGGGGCTCAGTTTTCGATAGCCACGGGGCCCCAAAACGGGCCTCCATTGGCCGCCACTGAAAAGGCACCCGCCTGAAGCCTTGGACCCCATCCTCGGGACCGCTGTTTCGTTTGGGATCGGTTCTAGATGGCCTAGGGTCCCCCAAGTGGGCCTCCAGTGATCGACAGCAGAAACAAGCATTCCGGGATTGCAAAAGGTCTTTGCTCAGAGGCGGCCAGCGCATGTCTGAAACCGTTTGCGCCACCACATGAGCCCGTAGAGAAGACAGCCCAGAGTGGCAGGCCACAAGAGAGCGCCACGGGTCACCTGAAATTCATGTTCAGCGACAGCCACAGGGCAGGAGGAGGAGGAGGAGGAGGAGGGTGACCAGGCAAGGGGGCCGTTAGGTTCGCCACGACGAACCCAGCCATCCTGGAGGGGCCCCTGCTCCATGCGAGGAGGAGGCCCCAATTAGGCCTGGCGGCTCCTTCCTGGCCCCCCACCTCGGTTGCGCCCCCCCTGGCTATCGCTTTCGGGCGCGCTGCGGCCCGCCGATCGGCTACGGAGCGTCCCGCCGCCAGCAGCAGCAGCAGCAACAGCAGCAGCAGCAGCAACAGGGGGCGGCCAGCTGCAACTTCTGTGCCCAGGGCCTCGTACGTCTGAAACTCGAAGAACAGAAACCAGCATACGTAAGCATAAATGCTCGGAGCTTTGCGCGGAGTCCTTTGATTGGCACTGTCCCCCTCTCCCCGGCGCGCAAAGCGCGCTGGCGGCGGCGCCGGAGGCGCCGCCAGGGGGGCCCAGCGCCGATCCGAGAAATACGCCTGGAGTTCCAGAAGCTTATATATTATGCCACTCCCCGACCCTACGTCGTGATGTGTTATCACAACGTCGGTCCCCAGAGGTTTCAGTCCATTCCCTCAGACCAGGTTTTCATCCCAGGTCGTTTTCTGGTGGTCCCGGGGCCCGGCGAGGTCCCCCAGAGGCCGGAAATACTACAAGACCACCCGTGCTCATTTTTCACAATTCGAGGCTGTTTGGGTTTTCCTTCTTCGTCTTGTTTCTTCTAGAAACAGGTGGGCGACGTAGAGCAGCGGGAAAGCTGTACCGACATTGGCGCGTAAGCTGCCCGCCGAAGGTCGCGCGCAAGCGCCTTCGTTTCACATGCGGCGTGCCACGCTGGCGCACCGCGTACGCAGCGATGTAAGGTCGCTGTCTCATGGTGCGTAAGACCCCTTTCTTTTCGTTGCTCAGGTCGCGTCGTCGGAGCTCTGGGCCCCCTCGGCCACCACCCCGCGGGCCCCGTCCCAAGACGGGCGAGGGCCCCCGACGGAGCGGCACAATGGCGGTCGCCGCGGACTGCAGCCACCAGGTTCGCCGCCGCCACCAACCCCCCCCCTCCTCGTCCTCCTCCTCCTCCTCCTCCTTCTACTCCTCCTCCTCCTCCTCTTCCTCCTCCTCCTCCTCCTCCGTCTCCGCTCGGCACGCTCGACTCCTCCTTCTCCTCCTCCTCCTCCTCCTCCTCCTCCTCTTCCTCCTCCTCCTCCTCCGACCCCCTAGAATCGTGACAAAGCATGAGGAGTTGTTCCGTTATTTTCGGCCTTCTGGCGGCCTTCGCCGGGCCCAGGGACAGTTCCAAAAATACCCGGGATGAATTGTCGGCCTTGGGGAAGGGGTCGGGACTTACGGGGAATCCGTGTTGAAAAAATCTGAGGTTGGGGGGTGAGATCGCAGTGAATCGGTGACCCCCCACCGGGAAATCGGTTTCGGTTTCGTGTTCGTGTCGCGCGTGCGGGCGAGGCGAAGCTGCGCGTGATCATCCTGTAGCTAGGCCGAAGTAGGAGCGAAAGTCCGTTTCCGTCCGCCGGTGGCCGGGAGGTGTCCCAGTTGGGCCGGGCGGTGTCCCGGGTGTCCCGGGTGTCAGTAGGAGCGAAAGTCCGTTTCCCGTCCGCCGGTGGCCGGGAGGTGTCCCAGTTGGGCCGGGCGGTGTCCCTGGTGTCCTGGGTGTCCCGGGTGTCCCAGCGCCAACGCATGTCGCTAATTTCCCAATTTATTTTTGTTCGGCGCCTGCGGCGGGCTTTCTTATCCAATCCAGCTTCTCTGATCCAATCCATCTTGTCCAATCCAATCCATCTTACCTTATCCAACCCATATTGTCCCATGTTATCTTATCCCACCCAATCCAATCCACCCTACCCAAATCATCAATTAATGTGTTTCTGCGCCTGCGGCGGGCCAATCCAATATATCTTATCTTACCCAATCCATCTCTTCAAATCCAACAAATACCATCTTATCCAATCAATATTATCCCACCCAATCCAATCCACCCAACCGAATCCATCAATTCATTTTTGTCGGCGCATGCGGCGGGCTTTCTTATAAGATCCAGCTTAGATTATCCAATCCATCTTGTCCAATCCAATCCATCTTATCTTATCCAACCCATATTGCCCCATCGTATATGATCCCACCCAATCCAATCCAACCAACCCAATCCATCAATTCATTTGTTTATGCGCCTGAGGCGGGCCAATCCAATCCATCTTATCTTATCCAATCCATCTCGTCCAATCCACAGGCCAGCCACAACTGGGGGAGCTGTGGTCCTTACCCCCCTGGGGTATCCATCGATTTCGACACCCCTCTCGAGAGATCGTCGAGGCGATGGGTTCCCCCAGGGGGGTAAGGACCACAGCTCCCCCAGTTGTGGCTGGTCGGATCAAATCCATCTTATATTATCCAATCCATATCTTCGACAGAAAGATGAGATCCAGGTGACAGGCTGGAGGTCAGTCAGGGTGGGCATTTGATCTCAATCCCCCCCAACCTCCTTATCGCCCGCATGGCGGTCGTACAGGTAGGATATCGAATGTTTGGGGGGTCCTTCTCCTTCTCCTCCTCTTTCTCCTACTCCTCATCCTCATCCTCAAACCTCCCTCCCTCCCACCTACCCTCCCTCCCTCCCTCCCTTATAACCTACCTCCTACCCTCCCTACCCTCCCTACCTCCCTGCCTCCTCCTCCTCCTCCTTTCCCTCCCTCCTCCCTCCCTCCCTCCGTTCCTCCCCTCCCCCCCTCCCTCCCCCCCCCCCCCCCCCCTCCCTCCCTACCTCCCTACCTCCTACCTCCCCTCCCCGCCCTCCTCCGCCTCCTCCCGCCTCCGCCTCCGCCTCCGCCTCCGCTCCTCCTCCTCCTCCTCCTCCTCCTCCTCCTCCTCCTCCTCCTCCTCCTCCTCATCATCATCATCATCATCGTCATCGTCATCATCATCATCATCATCATCATCATCATCATCATCATCATCATCATCATCATCATCATCATCATCATCATCATCATCATCATCATCATCCTGTTCCTTCTCCCTCTCCTCCTTCTCCTCTTCCGCTCCTTTTCCTTATGACTAACCGCACCCCGAGGCCGGTCGAAAGGGCGGGCTGGTCGTTTCGCCTGAAATTCCTTCGCCACTTATGATATTGAAGCTTAAGATGTGCAGGGGCTTCACGGATTGAGGGCGGCCAGTTTTCATTATGTGGTTCTCGTCGTGGCGCCCTGCGGCTTGTATTCAAATTGCGGTTCTCGCCTTAACGCCGCAAACGTTGGTTTTAAAGCTTGCAAGGCCTTAACAGACGGAGGGCGGTCCGTTCTCAAGACGTGGCTCTCGCCTCAGCGCCGCGCACACTTTTTTTTTGCAAAAATGGCTGGGACGGGCTGGGGTGCCCGTGCTTCTCCGCGGCCCATTTGGCCTCAAGTCTTCCTTGGTGCCATAGAAGCCGCACAGTCCAGCGCCGCGATTTGCTGGGCTGGCGCCGCGGGCCCGCAGCCGGGCTGGCGCGGCGAGCTGGCGGGCGGAGGCCGAGGCCCAAATACCCGACGTCCGCCCGAGGGGCGTCGGTCGCCGACGGCCGCGGAGGCGCCAGGGCCTCGCGGCGTGGTGGCGCGGAGCGCGGCGGCGGCTCAGAGGGCCGGCGAGCCGCACCCCAGGCGCCGTCACACCGCCGAGCAAGTTGCCCGTCGGAGGAGGTCTGGATCACGGCATGGCGTCGCCCATGGTTTGGGTGCCTTGGCGGCTGCCCGGACTGGGCGTCGGTTTCGAGGACGGAAGCAGCGACGCCGGCAGCTCCCGCAGGATTGGGGCGAGGACGAGTCCCACAGCCTGTACAAGATGGCGCTCGGCCTGGCCAGGGGCGCCGAGGAAGAGGAGGAGGAAAGCCACGCGGAGCTGTTCGTCCTTGCCCGCCGGCAGGGCGGGAGACAGGTGGCAGCGACACAGGGGTACACAACGCCAGAGGAGGCGAAGCCCCATGCACCAGACGCAGGACTGGGAGGCCGTGGGCTGCAAGGATGCGGCAAAAGTCGCGCAGCCCCCAAGCCGCCGGCCCTTGGCCCGCAGAACGGAAAAGGGAGAGGCACCCCCTTGCTGTCGCATGATGGCGATGGGTCTGCGGCTGAGGTCCGTGAGACGACGCGAATGGTGGTCCAACCAGAGGAGGGGCCACCGGAGGTCGAGGAGGATGAGACGCTGGGAGGAAGTTGGTTCACATGGCGCCGCCACGAGGCCAGACGGACCGAGCCTCGCCGCCCGCCACCTCCCCCGCCACCCGGGCTCTCAAACTATTTTCACGTTTCGCTGAGATGTTCTCTTTATATAGGCATATGGGTTGGAGAGCCCACGTAAACAACAGGCGCGGCAATGACGACAAAGACGGCGACGATTTCAATGACGTCATCCTCCTCCTCAGGACGCCTTCCAGGAGGGACGAGGGAAACACAAGTGGAATCGGGGGGAGTTTCTCTTGCCGTTCTACCCGCGGCGACTCAGGCAAGCGCGTATGGCGTTGCTGCGCCCGCTCTCTGGCGTGCTCCTCGCGGCGTCTGTTGGCATTCGGGGTGCCCCAGGGCCGCGGCGGCTTTATCGAATTTGCGCGTGAGCCTTAGTGCGACTGAATCTGAGCGTGGGTGATCTGAGCGCGAGCGAGTCGGAGTGTGAGCGGGCCCAGGCCAGATCGATATTGAGTTTGAGCGGTTCTGTGTTAAACCAGCGCGCGCGTCTAAGCGCGAGTGGGTCCGAGTGTGAGTGAGTCTGGGCGTGGGCGAGCCTGGGTTTGAGTGTGACAAGCAGAGCATGAGCGAGCCTGGGCGCGAGGTTGTGTTTGCATGGGTGAGTCTGAGAGCTGGCGAGTCTGAGCGCGAGTGAGTATGAGTGTGAGTTGGTCTGGGTGCGGGCGAGTCTGCGTATGAGCGAGCAAGTATGTGCTAGCCCGAGCATGGTGGATCACATTTGCGCGTGGGCGAGTCTGAATGTGATGAGCGAGTCCGGGCAAGGAAGAGGTGCTGATGAGCAAGTCTTGTCTGGGCGCGAACGAGCGCGAACGAGTGTGATAAAGGGGAAGGAGATGAGTGAGTGAGTGAGTGTTTGAAGAGCACACACAAACAAAACAAGCGTCTGGGGGTAAAATTAGGCACACCGCCTTAGACGCCCCCCCAAGATGAGAGCGAAACTTGAGGTGTCCCCATCCATGGCGGCTCCGCCCTGGGGTGCCCAAATGCCATGTCTGCTACATCACTGCGAGCATTGAGCCACAGAAAGAGAAACGTATCAGGGGAGGCAGAAACATGCAAACCCAATCTGAGCGCGAATCCTGGAACGTTCCCACCTTGGCGGCTCCCCCATCGGGGTGCCCAAACGCCACGCCTGCTTCATCGTAGTGGGCACGGGGCCACAGAAAGATATACGTTTGAGTGACAGAAAAAAAGGCAAAAAGGCTTGAGACCTTCCCACAATCTGAGACCGAGCCTTGGAGTGTCCCCACCCCCGGTGGCTCCCCCTCGGGGTGCCCGAGTGCCATAATATAGCACGGCGAGTGTTGGACCACCAAGAAAAAAACCGTGGGGACAGTAACAGGCAAACCGCCTGGCACATCCTCACAAACTGCTCCGAAGACAGAGCATGTTGGGCATGCAAATAAGCAAATCGCTTGAAATATCCCCCCCAATATGGGCGCGAATTTGAGAGTGCCCCCACCCCTGGCGCCCCTTTGTTGTAAGGGGTGGTGAATCCAGCGCCTCGCCTGAAACATCCTCCTATCCTGCTCCGACAGCACAGGGTGCTGGGCACGCAAACCAGCAAACCGTTCGAGGTATCTCCCAAAGCGGGCGCAAATCTTGGAATGTCCTGACCCTTAGCGCCCCCCCGAGTTTGTTTCAGAAGTGCTGAAACCAGCGTTTCGCCTCAAACATCTTCAGCCTGAGCTCCGAAAAGCAGAGGATGCTGGGCACGCAAACAAGCAAACCGCTTGAGACATCCCCACGATCTGGGCGCGAATCTTGGAGTGTCCTGATCCTTGGTGCCCCAGCGAGTGAGTCCGACGGTGGGAGTGAGTCTGAGCGTTAGTGGGTATGACTGCGAACGCGTCTGGGTGTGAGCCGGTAAGGGTACGAGTGAGTCGGAGTGTGAGTGAGTCGGGGTGTGCGCGAGTCTGAGTGTGATTGAGTATGAACGAATACGAGTCTGAGTGAGTCACTCTGGCTGGGGAAGAGGAGGAAGAGAAGGAAGTGAGGAGATAGTCGGAGCAGTCTAGGTATCAACAAGAGCCCCATCTTAGGACATGAAGGAAAACATCTTCCTAATATTTATCATTACTAATGTCCTCCTCCTCCTCCTCCTCCTCCTCTTCCTCCTCCTCTTCTTCCTCGTCCTCCACCCCTGTCCCTTTCCAGTAATTCCTGCCTGTCGCGCCCCGAGGCGTGTCAGTAGGGCGGGCGGGCCATTAAGCTGAAGGGAACAACACCTTCACGGATGGAGGGCGGGCCGTTTCCAACATATGGCGTTTGTTTTAGCGCCGCGCACATTGGTCCTCAAAGTTCGCAAGAACTTCACGAATGGAGGGTTTACCTTTTTCCGAATTGTGGTTATCGTCTTCGCGCCGCGCAAATACGTTTTAAGTTTTCCAATATGTTCAAGGGTTCGTATGGTTGACGCCCCAGAAATGATGTTTCAGCACAGCGTGTGACTGCCAGTGCGCAACTGTGACCATGATTCTCTGCGTTAAAGTCCCAGGATTGGTGTTCTGGTACGGTTCTGGGTCGTCAGGACGCAACAGTAACGTTGATTCGCGGCGTCGAAGTTCCAGGAATGGTGTTCTGACGCGGTTCAGGATTTCCAGACGTTTGTCTTCCAACGGGGCACGTCCCTCAGTGAAAGTGATCCCTTGTAGGGATCTATGAAGAGAGAACTTGGAAGGAGGTTGTATTGCGACATCTTTGGTGAGTCTTGGTTTTACACTGGTCCTCCTCCTCTTCCTCCTCCTCCTGCTCCCCTAGTGGCCCCGTGGGAGGTCGACTCCTACATAAAGGAGCGCGGCGTGGAGGACGCGGTGGCCGAGGCCGCGAGGACTCGGGGCACACGGGGGAGGCCCTCGTCGCCACCGCCTCGAGGTGATGGTCAGAGTGCGGTCCGGGAGAGTTATCCATAGTGGCCTGTGGCCCATCCCGCCACTCTGCCTTGGACTGATCGTTCGGCGACTTGCCGAAAAAGTCACCGAGAAGACGCGCCGGGGCCTTGGAGGAGCGCCAGGAGCTCCGGGTGATTTAGAAATTTTGGAACGGGGTCCCTTAACTGAATTGCTCAAAACTGTGGACAGGATTACAGAGAACCCGAGGACACTGCAATTCGTGTCTCGCAGCAAGGTGGCGGATTTTGAGGGTATGGACTTTCAGGCCTGGGCGTCATGGGACAATCGCGACCAGCATCTTTTTACATGTTTCGCCCTGCTTCCGGGCGCCCCGGCTTGGCTCGAAGACTTTGTCTATGGCTCGGCGGAAGCGATCCGCATGGGCGCCGGCGAGAGTCTCAGCCGAGTTCCATGGTCTTCAGGGCGATGGAGCCACTTTTTTGTTGGGGTGGGACTCGCGGCAGGGTCGGCCAGACTTGGGGCTCCGTCTGGGCCAGAGGTCCTCGCGTTCCCATTCTTTCGCCCCTGCGAGCGCACCCGACCTTCGAGAGTCGTGCTCCCTTCGCGAACACCAGAGCTTTTCCTGGCCAGGCCAACCCGCGTTGGAAAAGTCAGCACGGAGGCTCTGCGCCGCTTTCGGCCTCAACGGGCCATCGCTGGGCCCCAGGGCTGCCAAAAATTTGCGCAGAACGAAGAGCCGGCCCTGGGAAAGGGTCGACGTGCGCTGGAGCAGGGAGGGCGATGGCTGGCACGCCCCAGCGCACACACCCGAGAAATGGTGTCGAGGGGGTGCTTTGGGTCCCCAGTTTCGGAGGGGGCCCCTGGATCCTCCTGATCGGGGAGGGGGGGCCTGGTTTCGAGACCCTCCTTGCTGTCGAATCTTCCGACGCGGGCGAGCTCGAAGTGCAGTCGTTCGAGAATCCAAGCGTCGGATGCCTGGGCCCACCGGTCCTGGAGCCCAGAAGCGGCATGGCCAGGGCCCGACGTCCGAGCGTGCCTCGTGGGTACACATTGCTCGCTTTTTCCAATTCTTCGGAAGTTCTTTGGCTCTTCGGGGGGCCAAGATCCTCTCACTTCTAATTCTTCTGTCCTGGGCATCTTCCTGACCACTAGGAGGGCAGGAACAGTTAGAAACGAGCACAGTTAGAAATGAGCACGAGTAGAAATGAGCGACGTGTACGCCGGGCACGTCCAGCAAGAAACCGGCCTGCCAGCGGGTGCCCCACGGAAGTGTCTGATCCCCCGATGCCCCTCAGGAAGCCAGAAAAGTTCAGTCGGGCGTGTCCCTCTACAGGAGGAATATTCAGACACAGTCCAAAAATAGTCTGGGAACGATCTTTCGGCTATTTTTGATCATTCTAGGGTATTGGTTGAGTCTGTTTTGTTTTTCGCCCAAAATCCGCCTGTAGGGTGACATGCCCGACCTAACACAACAGCCCTGGGAAACCTCAGCACTTTCAAAGATCGACGAAGAACCGATCTGGGGCACCTTCAGCACCCTCAAAGATCGAACTGGGGCACCCTGGCACCTTAGAGGATCGATTCCTCATTAGGTATAGCAAGATGCTGTCATCGCATGGGCCTGCTGCAGTTGGCATGCCCTTCCCCTGGAGGTCGTGCAGGCTCTGCTGGAGGCCAAGCCCGAGAACCCGCGCCGGTGGCTGCTGGATCGGCTGGAGCAGGAGCTGTCCGAGGAGAGCGACGACCTCCTGGAGCCCGGAGAAGAGTGGAGAGAGCGGGCCCTCCCGCGCGGTGAGAGATCATCACGACGGAGGGCCTGTTGCAAAACGTTCGGCCGATGGGTCGACCAGAGAACAAACGACACCCACCCCGCGTGCGACCCTCCGCGTTGCGCTGCGGCCAATCGGGGCCGCAGCGTCTACCACGCAGAAGCCCACGCCAGGTGTCCTGGTACACGCCAAGCCCCGTGGGGCCGTAGGTGGGATGGTGTCGTTTGTTTTCTGGTCCAACGGGGCCCTCGCTGGGCCTGGGGGCCGCCAAATAGCGACTCAGACCCACAGAAAAAAACGGTCCCAGAGACTGGGTCGAGAACCCCGGGGGGCCGGCGTTATGAAGGTGTCTTGGAAAAGACCCACCCGCATACAGCTGCGAGTATCGCGAGGCAGGTGAGACGAAGGAGGGCCGCGAAGCGTGTGAGGGGTGTGCCGAAATCGGTGCGGTGCCGCCATGCCGACGGTGGCACTGGTGCCTTCGGCGGAGCTCCCGATGGGCCCACGAAACGTGTGAGCGGTGAGCCGAAATTGGCGCGGTACCGCCGTACCGACGTTGAAATTGACCTTCATTGGGGCTTCCTAGGAGGCCACGAACCGTGTGACCTGTGGGCCGAAATGGGTGAGGTGCCGCCATGCGGACGTTGGCACCAGGGCGTTCAGAGGAGCTCCCTTTGGAGCCACGAAGCGTGTGAGAAGTGTGCCGACATGGGCGCGGTGCCGCCATGCGGCCGTTGCCACTGGGGCCTTCGGCGGAGCTCCCTACGGAGCTCCCTGTGGGGCCACGAAACTTGTGAGGTGTGGGCCAAAATGGGTGCGCTACCGCCATGCGGACGCTGCCACTAGAGCCTTCGGGGGAGCTCCAGATGGGGCAGGGAATCGTGTGAGGGGTCGGCCGAAATCGGTGCGGTGCCGCCATGCGGACGCTGCCTCTGGGGCCTTCGGCGGAGCTCCCTGTGGTGCCATGAAATGCGTGAGGGGTGTGCTGAAATGGATGCGGTGCCGCCCTGCCGACGCTGCCACTAGGGCCTTTGGCGAAGCTCCCCCTGGGGCCACGAAGCATGTAAGGGGTGTGCCGAGCTGTGTGTGGTGCCGCCATGCGGACGCTGCCACTGGGGCCTTCGGCGGAGCCCCCTATGGGGCCACGAAGCGTGTGAGGGGTGTGCCGACATGTGCGCAGTGCCGCCATGCGGATGGTGCCATTGGGGTTTTGAGCGGAGCTCCCTGTGAGGCCGCGAAGCGTGTTAGATTAGGGGTGTGCCGAGATGGGCGTTGTGCCGCCATGCCGACGCTACAACTGCGGCATTCGAGGAGGCTCCCTGTGGGGCCACGAAACGTTTGAGGGGTGTGCCGACATGAGTGCTGGGATCGGGGGAGGAAGAAAGGAGAAGAGATAGCAGAGGAGAGGAGGAGACGCGGTGCGCTACTGATTCAAAACGAGGACCCAATACCACAGGATGGCTCGAAGTATCCTGGCGACAGACCCAGCCAAATGCAGCTATTAGTGTCGCGGGGCAGGTGAGACGAAGGAGGGCCGAAACGGGTGCGGTGCCACCGTGAGGGCGCTGCCACCCGAGCTTTCGGCGGGGTTCCTTGTGGGGCCACGAAACGTGAGAGGGGTATGCCGAAATGGGTGAGGTGCCGCCATGCACACGTTGCCATTGGGGCGTTCGGCGGAGCCCCCATATGGGGCCACGAAAAGTGTGAGAAGTGTGCCGACATGGGCGCGGTGCGCCCGTGCGGACGCTGTCTCTGTGTCCTTCGGCGGAGCGCCCTATGAAAACAAAGTCAATCTCGCAATCCGAAGCCACCCAGGGATGACGGGTGGGACGTCACTCCTCTGGATCCCCAGCAGCGGTCTAAAGTGGCGCCAGTTTCGAAAATCGTAGCCCCCCAGGGATGGCGAGGAGGATTCCCCAGCAGCACTCGAAAGTGGCGAGGGTGCCGCGCAGCCCCACAGGGGTAGCGAAGTCTAATATGGATCCGCGTCTCCGCTAAACCCCCCAGCAGCCCTCGGAAATGCCGACAGTTTCGCAAATCGCAGCCCCCAATGGATGGCGAGCTCTAATTAAGATCCGCGTGAGGCGTCACTCCCCTGGGCCCCCCCAGCAGAACTCGAAAGTGGTTACAGTCTCGCAGATCGCAGCCCCCCTGGGATGGCGAGGTCGAATTCGAATATGTGAGAGGCGTCACTTCGCTGGATCCCCCAGCAGCCCTCGAAAATGGGGACGGTCTCACAGCTCGCAGCCCCCCCCCCCCCCCAGGGATGGCGAGGTCGAATCTAAATTTGCGTGAGACGTCACTCCATTGGACACCGCAGCAGACTTCGAAAATGTCGACAGCTGAGCAATTCACAGCCCCCCCTGGATGGCGAGGTCGAATCCTAAAATGCATAAGGTGTCACTCCGCTGGACCCCCAGCAGCCTTCGAAAGTGTCGACAGTTTCACAATTCGCAGCCCCCCAGGGATGGCGAGGTCGAAATCAAGTTTGCGTGTAACGACATCCCGCTGGACCCTCCAGTAGCCCTCGGACGTGTCGACAGTTTTGCAGTTTGCAGCCCCACACGGACGGCAAAGTCGAATTTGAATGTGCGTAAGACGTCACTCTTGTGGACCACCCAGCAGCCCTCGGAAATGTGGACAGCTTCGCAGTTCGCAGCCTTCAGGGATGACGAGGTCGAATATCGTTTCGCGTAAGACGTCACCCCACTGGACCCCCAAGCAGCCCTTGAAAGTGTCAACAGCTTCGCAGTTTGCAGCCCCCAGGCGCAGCGAGGTGTAGCCTAGGTTTGCGTAATGCGTCATCCCGCTGGACCCCCAAAGCAGCTCTTGAAAGTGTCGACAGCTTCGCAGTTCGCAGCCCCCCAGGCGCAGCGAGGTCGAGTTTAGGTTTGTGTAATGCGTCATTTCGCTGGACACCCAAGCAGTCCTGTGTCGACATCTTTGCAGTTCGCAGCCCACCAGGGATGGCGAGGTCGAGTTTAGGTTTGCGTAATGCGTCACCCCGCTGGACCCCCCAGCAGCCTTCGGAAATGTGGACAGCTTCGCAGTACGCAGCCCCCCGAGGCGAGGCTTCTTTCGGTCTGCGTAAGACGTCACCCCGCTGGGACCCCCAAGCAACCCTTGAAAGTGTCGACAGCTTCGCAGTTCACAGACCCCCAGGCGCAGCGAGGTGTAACTTAGGTTTGCGTAGTGCGTCATTTCGCTGGACCCCCAAGCAGCCCTAGAAAGCGTCGACAGCTTCGCAGTCTGCGGCCTCCCAGGGATGGCGAGATCGAGTTTAGGCTTGCGCACGACGTCACTGCGCTGGACCCCCCAGCAGACCTCGAAAGCGTCGACATCTTTGCAGTTCGCAGCCCACCAGGGATATGGCAAGGTTGCTTGGGTAGGCGATGTAGGAGGCAGGCGGGCAGGCAGGACAGGATAGGCAAGCTGGCAGGCAGAACAAGAGAGGAGCTTGGTATCGCTCGGACGTGTGCATTTTTTCTCGGTGGGGATTATTAAGGAGCATCCTGGATCATCCTGCGAAAAAACCACGCACGAAACCCCCCAAAAAAACAGGGAATAGACGTCCGAGCGACGGGGAGTGCTCTATGCAAAACGAGAACCCGACGCAGGAGGGTCGGGTAAAGATCATGACGTCGGGGGCTGGGGACCAGCACGAACCGAAATCGTCGGAGCCCCGCGCGGAGTTTTCGGATCGGCGCTAGAGCCCCCCTGGCAGCGCCTCCGGCGCCGCCCCTTGGCGCGCTCCGCGAGCCAAGGAGGGGGTCCAGCGCCGATCCAAGAAATCCGCGCGGACCTCCGAGAGTATGCCGCTATTTCTCCCTCTAGGAGTCCGACCTGCATCGCCTCTTCGCGGCGTCGCGGAAGATCACCGCGGACAGTCGGGGCAACGACAGGGGGGGGAAAGGCTCATGCGAGATGCGTCGGCCCTAAATCGCCCATTGATCGCCGATGCTGGCCCGATATCCTGGCCCGCCCAAGACCGTGCGAAATTGTTCTCGGGGGCCCATCGTCACCGATTCCAGATCGATGTCCCCCCCCTCAGAGCTGGTCCCCCCAAACGTTCCCCCTCAGGAGATAGTGCCGCAGGAGACGATAGGCATCGTGATCTCCGAGACCGTGCAGCTCCTCAGCTGCGACACCGTCTCCCTCTTCGTGCTTGACAAGAAGGCCAGCGTGCTGAGGCTGTACGCCTCCAAGCTGTCAACGCCGATCGTGGTGAATATGGGACAGGGCATCGCAGGTTACGTTTTCGAGCACCTAGAGACAGTGAACATCCCAGATTGTTACAAGGACCCGCGCTTCGACAGCTCGTTCGACAAGGTCTCGGGTTACTACACGCGCAGCCTGCTAGCGGCTCCCATCCTGGACTACGAGGGCAGCTGCGTCGGTGTCCTCCAGGCCATCAACAAGATGGGTCTCGACGGTAAGTCGAGCTTCGACCACACGCCCGTCGGCATGCAGGCGGTCCCCTTCAGGAGGAATGACGAGAAGATTCTGTTGCACCTCACGCAGCACGTCGGCATCGCGCTCCGGAATGCTGAGGTTTATCGAGAGGCCATCAGCTCTAGCGAGCGCGCGACTGGTCTGCTCAACACAGTCCAGAGCCTTTCCCAGGATCTGGGAATCCAATCAATGTTGCTGACGATCACCATGCACGCGGGCCAGATCGTGAGTTGCGAGAGGTCAACGGTCTTCCTCCTAGACGAGGCCAAGGGAGAGCTCTGGTCGGTGTCCACGGACACCGGCCAGGAGATCCGCATACCTAAGACGACTGGCCTCGCGGGGGAGTGCTGCAGCAAGGGGGAGCTCATCTCGAGGGACCCAAAACAGCATAAACGCAAATTGTCGGAGCTCTGCGCGGATTTCTTGGATCAGCGCTGGGCCCCCCTTGTGGCGCCTCCGGCGCCAGCCCTGGCGCGCTCCACGCGCTAGGGAGGGGTCCAGCTCCGATCGAGGAAATCCACGCGGATCTCCGAAAGTGTACGTTTTTGCCGTTGTTCGTTCCTTTGTCATCAACATCCCAGACGCGTACGCAGACAAACGCTTCAACCAAGAAGTGGACAAGAGGACGGGCTTCAAGACGCAGAACATCCTCGCGGTACCGATGTTCACCGCCGACGGGTGCGTCTCGGGCGTCATCCAGATGATCAACAAGGTATCCCCCGACGGCAGCTACGAGGTCTTCGACGATGCCGACGTGGAGGTGATGGAGCTGTTCGCCAAGTTCGTAGGCCCCAAGCTCACGCAGTCCTCGATGTTCGTGAAGGCCGCCGGCGCACAGAGAGGGGGCGGGGCGAGGGGGGACAGCCTTCGAAGAAGGCACCCATGGGGCCCTCCCGCTTCTGGAGACGGCCCAGGAGCCACCGAGAGTGGGAGGCGAGATTCCTCGGTGGGAAGCCACCTGCCACCTCAGCAGGCTGGCTCCCCTCGCCCGTGGCGCTCAGGTCCAATCCCCGGGCGCCTCTCAGGGCAGCTGGGCAACGTTTGGGGGGGGGCGATAGGTCTTCGAATCGTCCGTCGGTTCTCGGCGTTTTTTCCCAACCATGCTGTGGTGTTGGGTCCTCGTTTTGAAGAGACGGTCCCCGCGTTCCTCCTCCATCCTTCCTCCCCCTCCCCCCTCCTCCCCCATCCTCCCTGCGTTTCACCCACCCAGTACAGCGCTTCGTGACCCCATAGGAAGCTCCACCGAAGGCCCCAGTGGGACCGTCCGCGTGCGTCCCGGAAACCCAATTTGGCACACCCCTCACACGCTTCGTGGCCCCATAGGGAGCTCCACCGAAGGCCCCAGTGCCACCGTCCGCATGCGTCCCGAAAACCAAATTTGGCGTTTTCACTCACCTAGTACAGCGCTTCGTGGCCCCTTAAGGAGCTCCACCGAAGACCGTCCGCACGCGTCCCGAAAACCCCATTTGGTATTTTCACCCACCCACTACAGCGCTTCGTGGCCCCATATGGAGCTCCACCGAAGGCCCCAGTGCCACCGTCCGCATGCGTCCCGAAAACCAAATTCGGCATTTTCACTCATCCAGTACAGCGCTTCGTGGCCCCATAGGGAGCTGCACCGCCGGCCCCAGTGCCACCGTCCACATGCATCCCGAAAACCCAATATGGCATTTTCACCCACCCAGTACAGCGCTTAGTGGCCCAATAGGGAGCTGCACCGAAGCCTTCAGTGGGACCGCCCGCATGCGTCCCACACACCCATTTGGGCATTTTCACTCACCCAGTACAGCGCTTCGCGGCCCCATAGGGAGCTCCACCGAAGGCCCCAGTGGGACGGCCCGCATGCGTCCCACACATACACACACACACACACACATACACAAAAACGCACACTTTGGCAGTTTCACCCACCCAGTACAGCGCTTCGTGGCCACATAGGGAGACCCACCGAAGCCCTCAGTGGGACCGCCCGCTTGCGTTCCACACACACACACACACACACACACACTCACACACAATGTGGCATTTTCACCCACCCAGTACAGCGCTTCGTGGCCCCATCGGGAGCTCCACCGACGGCTACAGTGCTACCGTCCACATGCATCCCGAAAACCCACACGTAGCACAGCGTTTCGTGGCCCCATCGGGAGCTCCACCGACGGCCCCAGTGCTGCCGCCCGCATGCGTTCCCCCCCACCCAGTGCAGCGCTTCGCGGCCCCATAGGGAGCTTCACCGAAGAAGATATTCACAATTGCGGTACCCACAACTGCATATGATTGGGTCATTCGCCAGGACACTGTCCAGCCTCGGGATGCATTCTGGCAGCTGCGCCTCGCCGAGGGCGTTCCACAGGTGCCCAGATCGTCCCGAACGGTCGCCAGAGGCTTGAGCCATGACCTGAAAACCAACGGCGAGGCAGACGGGGGACTTTCCTGGCCAGTTTTGCAAGCCGCTTCCAGTTGTGGTGGCCTCAAGGTCCCCTCTCCTGAAACCTCTGGCCCTCTTCCACGGTGCCGTTTTGCCTCCTGAGTCGGGGTTTGACAGTCCCAGGGCTTGAAATCAGCCTGCAGAAGATGGCGAAAGATCCGACGCCCAGACTTTTGTTCGAGCCGCCCGATGCATGGACCCGAGAGTCCAAAATCAATCAGCACGCCTCTCTAGGAGAACGATCTGACGGATCCACCCGTGGCGACGAGAAGCACCCTGGAGGCTCATGCTTGAAATGTCATTGTGTTTATATATACACATAGAAGTACATGTACACATGAAGAAATAAATAGATACATAGATCCATCACGTCCATCCTCGAACCTCGAGGGCCTCCTCGGCTCAACCTCCAGCAAGAAGAGGAGGAGGAGGAAAGGAGGGAACGGAGGAAGAGGAGGATACCGTCGGCTCACGCGGCCTTGTGGGTGGCTGGCCCCTGCTGCAGCAGGGGCGCAGGGCTCGCCCTTCCCGAGGTGGTGCCGGGGGGGTCCTTGTGGGGCACGGCAAGCATGCGCACCAGATTGGGGAGGGCTCACCCCAGGAAGCCCACCCCAGCGGGCTCCTGGAGTGAGCCCTCCTCCTCCTCCTCCTCCTCCTCCTCCTCCTCCTCCTCCTCCTCCTCCTCCTCCTCCTCCTCCTGGTATCCTCCTTCTCCTCCTCCTCCTCCTCCTCCCTCCTCCTCCTCCTCCTCCTCCTCCTCCTCCTCCTCGTATCCTCCTCCTCGTATCCTCCTCCTCCTCCTCCTCCTCCTCCTCCTCCTCCACCACCACCACCACCACAGGTGGTGCCTGGGGGGTCCTTATTGGACACAGCCGTTTCAAGAGGTAAAGTATGGAGGAGGAGGAGGAGGAGGAGGAGGAGGAGGAGGAGGGGACTTGCAGGGCGCGCCCGTCCCCGCGATTCGCTAGGAACCCAGCGCTCTCTCGTGCAAACCCGCATTGCCGACGGCGCAAGCCGAGCGCGGACCATGCGCGGGCCGCGTCGCCGCTACGTCGCAATTTGTTGGGGACACGCGGGCCGGGGGAGCTTGGAGATAGACGCTTTCAAGCCTCCGACTTGCCGGGGCCGCGGCTCTCAGGGGGCTTCGCGATGGCGGCAACGGCGGCAAAAGCGTCCCCTGACAAAAATGCAAAAAACCTTGGGACGCCGCTCTCGTTGGGCTCCCCAAGTCCTCCTGGGCTTGGCAAGAGAGTGCGCCCCCGACGGGCGTCCAGCGACAACCCCGTCAGTCCTGCTGTAGCAGGTTTCGGGGCTTGCTGAGTCGCTGGCAGACCGTCGGGTCATATATTAATACATATATACATATACACACATATATATAAGATACATACATATATGTATACATATATATATACATATGTGTATATATATAGATGTGTGTGTGTGTGTGCGTTCTGACTTAATGCAAGGTCCAGAGTGGGCCCTCTTCGGGGTCTCTTGAGGCCGTTTTGAGGCAGTCTTGGGGGCCTCCTGGGACGTCTTGGGACCCTCTGGGATCGTCTTGGCGCTTCTGGGCAATATTGGGGGCCTCCTGGGGCTGTTCTGGGGCGGTCTGGGGGCCCTGTTGGGCTGTCTTGGGGTCCTCTTGGCCCGTCTGGAGCCCCTCGCGGTGCCCTCTTGGTGCGTTCTGGGGCCGTCTTGGGCCCTTCTTGGGCCGTCCTGAGCTCGTCTTGGGGCCCTTTCTGGGCGCGTATGAGGCCATCTCGAAGCGATCTGGGGGACCTCTTCGGCCGTCTCGAGCGCTCTGGACACCGGGAAGCCGAGCATGCGAAAATGGCACCGAAACCTCAGCAACATTTATGATGTCTGCCTCCTGGAGCCTATTGGCAGTCGTCTTCGGGCCCCCTCGGGCCATCTGCTGAGCCGGTTGGGCCGTCGAGTGGCCATCCTGGGCCCGTCGTGGCCGTCTTGGGGAGCTCGTCGGGCCCTCCTGAACGCTCCTGGGGTCCTCTGGGGCCGTCTTGGGGCCATCTGGGGCCGTCTTGGGCCCTCCTGGGGCGCTCGCGAATCGGCCTCCACGGCCAGGCCCGAAGTTGTCCCGGATCAGTTTCCCATGAATACGGGAACCGATTGTGTTAGCACAGCTATACATACACATGTATGTATGTATATATACACACACACACACTCACTGACATTACTTTCTCCCTGGCTGCTGGGAGAAACCCGTGCTGGGCGAGCCTGTGGCGGCATGTGCTCGAAAGAAAAGAAAAAGAAAAGAAAAGAAAGAAAAGAAAAGAAAAGAAAAGGAGGAGGAGGAAGAGGAGGAAGAGGAGGAGGAGGAGCAGGAGGAGGAGCAGATGAAGGACCGACTTGGTTCCCTGCTTTTTCTCCCAGAGGAACGCAGCAGCCGTGCCGCTGATGCTCGCCTAGCACCAAAGAAGCAGGAGGGGGAGCATGAGGATCACGAGGAGGAACCGGAGGGGCAGGAGGAGGAGCAGAAGGAGGAGCAGAAGGAGGAGGAGGAGGAGGAGGAGGAGCCTCCGGGACCTCCCTCGAACCCGGAAGAGCACCGACCCTGAGGCTCGAGGGTCGGAGCTCTCCCGCGTTCGAGGGAGGCCTGGGAGGCTCGAGGCTTGAGGAGGAGGAGGCGGAGGAGGAGGAGGCGGAGGAGGAGGAGGAGTGAGGGAGGAGGAGGGAGGGAGGAGGGAGGGAGGGAGGAGGAGGAGGAGGAGGAGCAGCAGCTGCCGACGTGCCCCTTCCCCCCCTAAGGGCTTGCTGCGGGCAGCGTCGGTCCCTGGGGGGGGCCGGCGCAGAGAGCCGGGGGGGCGCGCCGGCACCACCAAGCCAAAGTGCGCTTGGACAGCTCTCGGCCCCGACGGAGGAGGAGGAGGAGGAGGAGGAGGAGGAGGAGGAGGAGGGGGAGGGGAAGGAGGAGGAGGAGGAGGAGGACTAGTGCGAACCAAAGACGCATCAACGATGTTGCCATCAAGCCTCCCCCAAGTTCCCTCCTCATAGGTCCCTACAAGAATTTCTTCATTGCGGGAAGTGCCCCACTGGAAGACAACCGTTTGAGAATCCTCAATCGTGCGGAAAAAACACCTGTCCTGAGACGGGGGTCAATGAAAACAGGGGTCAGCCAGGGCATGGGATCCTGCAGGATCCTGCGAAGACCCCTCCTGGCTGACCCGGGTTAGCGAGCCGCTCGTGGCCGTGAGGCGGCCGCGCATATTGGTTGACCCTGCTTTGCGAAGACCTGCGTTCCAGTTTTTTCCCCTGCATTGCAGTTTTTTGGTTTCCTGCTGACCCGGGTCTGGATTGACCCGGGGCAGAGGATCCCCGAGGGATTTCAACGCCGTGAATCAACTTAACTGTTGCGTCCTGACAACCGTAATCCGTGTC